CCCGCCACCCCCACCTCCCCCGCCACCGCCCCCTCTAGCTCCACCCGCTCCCTTGCCCCCTTTGCCCTTGCCATTGCGGCGTCTACCGCTGGGGGTAGACGCCGCACCGACCGACTCAAAACCAGCGAGGTCGGCCGCAGCGGCAGAGGCGACAGAGGGCAGCAGGGGGGAAGGAGAGCACCCCTCAAAAATGGGGGTGCGAGGGTCACCCCGAGAGGCCCCTACAGCGAGGATGCTCTTCTCAGCCGCTAGCAGGGACTCCTCAAGGAGGTCGACAGTGAGGGTGGTGGGACAGACAGAGAGAAACTGGTCCCTAACTACACGAAGGGACTCAGGGAGACGAGTGACGAGAAAGTAGAGAGTGATGTACATGGGAGGAGGGTTTGCGGCGCGGAACTCAGCAGGAAGGGCAGCGCGGTAGCGAGCGTCACTAGCGCGGAGGTGGGTAACGAGGTCAGCAACAGTGGGAAAGGCAGCGAGGTCAGGGAAGAGAAACGGTAGCATGAGGCGGCTAAGCGTAGCGGAGGAAGGGGAGGAGTAGCGTGCAACTACAGCGTCGTACAAGGCCTGAGCGGTCTTGCACTGACTAAAGTGGGCACGCTCGGAGGAAGGGAGGTGGCGACGCACAGCAAGACGTGCAGCAGCATCGCGGGTCGCCCACTTGGAGCGAACGGCGGGGTCAGCATCAGCAGGAGGGGCAGGGACAGCGCCAGAGACAAAGTCAAAGAGAGAGACCTCATCTATCGCATCACACAGTAAGTACAGCTGCAGGTCTTCAATCCAGACTGCAAAGTCAATGGCTCTACCCTCAGCGTCAAAAGCTAGGACAGTGGGGGTGGCCATGACAGCAGCTGACAGTCTCACCGGGCAGGAAAAGTCGGGTAGGTCAGCGGCACTGTAACACAGCCTAGGAGCAGCAGTGGCCCCACAGGAGCAGGAGTGCGGCTCCACTGGCGGCTCGGGCGGCTCGGGCGGCTCGGGCGGCTCGGGCGGCTCGGGCGGCTCGCGCGGCTCGGGTGACGCAGGGGCTAACGGGCGGCGCGGGCGGCTGCACGGGCGGCTCACGGGCGGCTGGGGCTGCTCACGGGCGGCACGGTGGGTGGCTGCACGGGCGGCTGCACGGTGGCGCGGCGGGCTGCAGCACGGGCGGCGGGGCCGACGGCGGGCCTGTAGCGGGGCTGTAGCGGGGCTGTAGCGGGGCCGAAGGCGGGCCGACGGTTGGCTGTAGCGGGGCCGGCGGCGGGCTGTAGCGGGGCCGACGGCGGGCTGTAGCAGGACCGGCGGCGGGCTGGGGCGGGGCCGACAGCGGGCTGTAGCGGGGCCGGCGGCGGGCTGTAGCGGGGCCGACGGCGGGCTGTAGCGGGGCCGACGGCGGGCTATAGCGGGGCCGACGGCGGGCTGGAGCGGGGTCTACGGCGAGCCGACGGGGTCTAGGCGGGGCCAACGAGGGGCCGTAGTGGGGCCTAGGCGGGCCGACGGGGCCTAAGCGGGGCCGACGCGGGGCCGTAGCGGGGCCTAAGCGGGGCCGACGAGGCCTAAGCGGGGCCGACGCGGGGCCGTAGCGGGGCCTAAGCGGGGCCGACGAGGCCTAAGCGGGGCCGACAGGGCCTAAGTGGGGCCGACTAGGGGCCTAAGTGGGGCCGACGAGGGGCCTAAGCGGGGCCGACGAGGGGCCTAAGCGGGGCCGACGAGGGGCCTAAGCGAGAGCACGGCGGTAAGGGCGACACGGAGGGTCGCTAAAAAAGAACGCGCGCCTCGGGGCGCGCTTCGGTGGGCCTTAGGAACAGTCCCTAGGAAGGGACCTGCTCTGATTCCATGAGAAGATATGAACGAGAATGAAATGACTATGAACGAAGTGAGTACAAATAGGAAACCCTAATTTGGGTTGTACCCCCTATGGGATACCCCACTATAGCCTACAGAAACAAGTAAGCTATATGTTCTGACACCTTCATGTTCTTGGAGTAGATGAGGATATCATCCAGGTACACCACTACGCACTCGTCTAGTAGGGGTCGTAGAATATGGTTCATTTCTGCCTGGAACGTCGCTGGTGCGTTGCAGAGTCCGAACGGCATCACCAAGTATTCGTAGGAGCCGTATCTGGTACGGAACGCCGTATTGTGGATCGAGTTGTCCGCCATCTTGATCTGCCAGTTACCCGACCGTAGGTCCAGCTTCGAGAAGACTGTTGCACCACGCAGTTGGTCCAGTAAGTCGTCGATGCGCGGTATGGGGTATTTGTTTTTAACTGTCTGTTTGTTCAGTGCGCGGTAGTCGATGCACATCCGTAAACTGCCGTCTGGTTTTGGAGTAGTGGTCTCCGCTGCGCTTAGTAGCCAAAGAGGGTCTCATTAATAGGATCATAGGATACACCGAAGTGAATACCTTCCCTTTTTCCTATACCGAAGAGGGTCTCAGCACTTTCCAACTTCACCAGGGGAGTAGGAGGATTGTTCCGAGGCTTGTATAATTTTTCCTGAGCTTGGATGTCTCCTCTAAGCTTTGGCAGCTAAGTAGGCTTCACCTGTGGGCAACGTAGAGCCTTAACACTGTGCTGCGGGGAGAGAATATTAACTCCATGGAACGCACGACCCTTTTCTACGCTCCGTAGTACTTTGCCCAACTTCTCAGGTACCTGAATAATCTCTTAAGGCTTTTTCTTGGCCTCGAAATCTCCCCTGATTTTTTTAAAGGCTTGAAAACCTCAAGAGGGAATATTCTTACTCTCGGGGGTGTTTGGCTGGAGTTTCCCGGTCGGTGCAGAGTTTTGTTTCGCGGAGCCTCCATTTGTCTCGGCGATTTCCCCTGTTGCCGGCCGGTCGTGGCGTTTAAAATTTGCGCCATCGTGTCCTCCTTTTTTCGCCATCGTGGATGTCGCACTGTTGTTGCCCTGCAGCTCCGCTCGTGCCTTCTTTATTTTCCAACACGTCAAGAGTCGATGTCCTGCTGCGCCGCAAAATTCGCACTTCTCATATTTTGTCGGCCGCTGCTTCGCGTCGATCTTGTCGATATCCATCGGGTCGGCGGTTGTGGGTGGTGCCGATCGCTTTGTGCCAAATGATCAGTTCGGCACGTGGCGTCGTGTCTCGGGTTGATCTCGCATCAGCGCATCGAATCTCTCTGCTGCACACACCATGTCGCAGTAGTTGTTGTAGTTCGCGACAATCACTTGTCGGCGCACTTCCATCTTTAGCCCCTCAGTATACGCTTGGATTTTTTCCCCTTCGGTCAGGTCGGTTATTCGGTTGAAGAGGCTCTCCATCTGCTGCGTGTACTGAATTACGCTGTCGTACTGTCTGTGCCGATGAATCTGCTTCCGCGCTATGTAGCTGGAGTTGATTGGTTCGAAACGTTGAATTAAAGCTTCCCGAAACTGCGTCCATGACCCCTTGCCTCGGATCTTAATGCTGTTGTAAATCCACTCGAGCGCCGGGCCTCGTAACAGTGTTTCTGCGAGCCGAATCCGTGTTGCGTCGTGTTGCGGGGTCGAACAGCCAATGGCCTTGAAGTAAATTTCGAGGGTTGCCACGAATCGCCGGACGTCGGATCCCTTCGCGCTTGGATCGAACGCCTCAGGGAGCCTCGGTCGTGTTGCTTCGAGGTTCGGCGACAGTGGTGCCATCGGTCCATGAAATGTCGGTGTTGCCACTACTGCGGGTGTTGTCGCTGCTGCATTCGCTGCTGCTGCAATGGCGATTCCTGGTTGGTGTGTCAGAAGGGCCTCGAGCCAACGAAGCGTCACCTGCGTCTGCTCCATGTCGGTGCGGAGGCTCGCGATGTCGCTCGTGGTCGCGTAGTTGTCGTCTTGACCCTCCATGCCTGACATTAGCGTGTCCGAAAAACCGAATCGAGGGGGAGTGAAAAACACGGAACCGGTTTTACACACCCGAAATCGATGTTTAACTGCGTCGCCCCCGCGGTTTTTGAAGACTGGTTTGTAGCGGTCGAAAAAACTTCGCGTGTAAACGGGCTCTGATTACCAAGTGTGAGGATCTAAGATCGAGCTCAGAAAAGAGATTTCGAATTGAATGATCACCTGGGTACAACACGTGGCTATATTTAGGCTCGACACAAGGTCCCGTAACGATGTGTTACGCGAAGGTTCCGCGGGTCGCGAAGCGTCCCGAACAGATCCTTCCCGAATTCAGTAGAAGGCAATTCGGTGGCAACCGAAAAGCCAGAATTCGATGCACGCAACCTAGCTCGGTGCTATAACTATAATAAAATATAGGAAAGCACCTAGCCTAGGAAATCAAGCAATTCATGCATGCATATAATTATCCTATGCTAGAAATAGCATAATAAAGGAAGGCAAGCAAGCATAGCTGGCATAAGCCGTCGTACTCTCACAGGCGACGGGCTGCAGCGAGACAAGGGCGGGTGTCAATCGTCGAGGCAGGTGACGGGACGTGATGTGACGGGCGGCAACGCAACGGGACGGGTGATGGTCTGCAGAAGCGGGTAGCGCGGGGCGACGAGCTGCAGCAGGGCAGCGCGACGAGCTTATCGTGGTGGCGCTCACGATGCGCCCTACGCGCTGCGCGATGGGATGCGCCACGAAGAGGGCTAGTGGTGGGCCCATGTAAAACGAACGGTCCTAAATCGGACCTAGCTCTATACCATGTTACAATACTAAGTTAACTAGAGCACGGGTTTAACTAAGGGGCCTAGGCTTAGTAGCCTAGGCCAAACGGGTGTCGAGTAGTTTGTGCCAAGGAGAATTGAGAAGAATGGTTGTTGGTTCACTATAGCACACGAGTACATATAGCAACCTAACAAAGATGAAAGAGGTGCACCACCATAGAAGGGAATTACACAGCAGCTACACTACAGGCAGATTATACTAAATAGATATAAATCTATTGTGACACGCGTCGCGCCCTGCAGCCCGCGCGTCGCGCCCTACTGCAGCCCGCACGTCATGCCCTGCTTCCCCGCGCGGCGCGCCCTACTGCAGCCCGTGCGTCGCACCCTACTGCCCTGCGCGTCGCACCCTAATGCCCCGTGCGTCGCGCCCAGCTGCAGCCGGCGCGTCGCGCCCTGCTGCTCTGCCCAGCGTGCGCGCCCTGCTTTGCAACCCGCGGCGCGCCCTGCGTTGCCTAGCCGCACCGCCCAGGCCTGCCGAGCCGCGCCTCCCAGGCCAAGCCGCGCCGCCCAGCCCGAGCCGCCCTGCCCAACCCGAGCCGCGCCGCCCTGCCTCATTCACCAGCCCCACCGACCTGCCCTGCTTCTACTACTGCTACTACTGCTGCTCGTGCTACTGCTGCTGCTGGTGGAGGTGCTGCTGGGAGTGCTGGAGGTGCTACTGGTGCTGGAGGTGCTGCTGGGAGTGCTGGAGGTGCTGCTGGTGCTGGAGGTGCTGGACCTGCTACTGACCGTCAGTGCCTGTCATGGCCACTATCACGGTAGTTGCAGCAGCTAGGGGTGGACAGCAGCGGTCACTGCCTCTTCTGGACGACCCCACTCCTCAGCAGCTTCGTGAGTGGGTTATTCAGCGAGGCAGTCCTGGTGGTGGAGGTTTCGTTTTTATGGGTACTACACAGCGGCGGCAGCAGCGTCTACAGAGCACCTTCTCCCTGCAGCGGCCTGGCGACTGTGCTACTTAGCGATGCGTCCCTGGTTGTGTAGAGGCTGCTGCTCCAGGCGCTAGTGAGTCTGCTGCAGCTCTAGATGCTCGTGAGTCTGCCGACGCTCTAGGTGCTAGTGCGTCTACTGCCACAGGTCCTGCCTCAGCTGAGACCTTGCATACTTTCACACTTGACTCAGGCGCGTCACGTTGCTTCTTTCGTGATTGCACCACAGTCACACCATTCGCAACACGTGTCCCAGTCTCACTGGCTGACCCGACTAGGGGCCTAGTAGTTGCACGGGCCTCCAATGTCCTCCCGTGTCCGGCAGTCCCCTCCGGGTCTCTCTCAGGTCTCCACCTCCCCGCGTTCTCGACGAACTTGTTGAGCAACATAGTTCTCCAGGATGAATGGGTTGGCACCTTCATTCTTGGAGGACAGCGTGTGGCGATTTGTAAGTGCTCACGGACTGGCCGTGACCTTGCTACGTTCAGTTGTCAGCCTAAGTCCGGCCTGTATACACTGACAAGTGCATATGCACCGGTGGCTGAGGCAGGTCAGGTGGCTACATCGAGTCGGGTGTCTGCGTCTGGTCAGCTTGCATCGTCTTGCTCGTATCGGGTACTCTCTCACCAGACTCTCCTCTGGCACCACCGCCTAGGTCACCCCTTGTTGCCGCGTCTCCGCAGCATGCACTCCTGTCTCCTTGTCTCTAGCCTTCCCAGGTCCCTGCCCTCCCTCCCGCAGTCGCTTGCACCGCCGTGCCTTCCCTGCGTCGAGGGGCGGCAGCGAGCCGCTCCTCACTCTTCCGAGTTTCCTTCGACCACTGCTCCTCTGCAGACTCTCCACATGGACGTTTCGGGCCCGACCCCCGTCGGTGGAACGGACTAGGAGCGCTACTTTCTGGTGGTTGTTGACGACTACTCACGCTACACCACTGTCTTCCCCTTGCGGCACAAGGCGCACGTCATCGGTGTTTTGATCCCCTGGATCCGTGCTACTCGTTGCCAGCTGCGCGAGCGGTTTTGTTGGGACTTGCCAGTCCTGCGTTTGCACTCTAACAGGGGCGGTGAGTTATCTTCTGGCCTCCTTGAGGAGTTATGTCAAAACGAGGGCATCCGCCAGACGTTCACGCTTCCGGCCTCTCCTCAGCAGAATGGGGTTGCTGAGCGTCGCATTGGCTTGATCATGGAGGTTGCTCATACCTCCATGATCCATGCTGCTGCTCCCCATTTTCTGTGCATGGTCCGATACACTGCGCATTAGCTCAACCTTTGGCCCTGTGTCTCTGAGCCAGAGACCTCGCCCACACTCCAGAGGACGGGGAAGGTTGGTGATGCGTCGGTGTTTCAAGTCTGGGGTGCACTCTCCCTTGTTTGCGATGCCAAAGCGAGCAAGCTCTCCTCTAGGACTCTCCGCTGCGTCTTCCTTGGCTTCCCCACGGACGCCCCGCCGTGGCAGTTCTACCACCCGCGCTCGCGTCGAGTCTTCTCCTCCCAGGACGTCACCTTTGACGAGTCTGTCTGTTTCTACAGGCTACACCCGCACGCGTCCCACTCGGTCCCCCTAGCGCCTCTCTTCCTGGTACCAGTCCCCCCCCCGGTAGACCCCCTCCCCCCACAGGTGCCTGATCCCTCAGGTGTGTCTAAGGTAGACCCACCCCCCTTAGTTGAGCCTTTGGATATCTCTTCAGACTCCTCTGGCCCAGCTAAGGGGGGTGACCCCGCCGCTAACAACACGGCGGCCACTCGCCGCTCTCCACGCTTGGAGACTCCCCCTGGTTTTCCGCCTTGGCCATCTTCGTTGCCTCCGCAGCCTGCTGCTGTGGACTCTTGAGCTGAGACTGCTGGTGCTGAGCCTGGGGGTGCTGAGACAGAGGGTGAGGTTTCTGGGGTTGCTGCGACTGGGGGTGCTACGATTGGGGGTGCTGCGAGTCCTAGTGGCGGTGGAGCTGTGGGTGACCCTGTTGGAGGTCCTGGAGCTGGACAGCCACCGCAGCCTGATCTACTTGAGACACTCTTGCCGCAGGCGATTTGTGCGTGGATCGTTCGGCGAGGCAGTCCTGGTGGTGGAGGGTACGGTCCTGCTGGTGTTGGAGCTACTAGTCCTAAAGGTACTGCTGGTGCTGGAGGTGTTGGAGGTACTGCTGGAGGTGCTGGAGGTGCTGCTGGTGCTGGAGGTGCTGGAGGTACTGCTGGAGGTGTTGGAGGTGCAGCTGGTGCTGGAGGTACTAGAGGTGCTGCTGGTGTTGGAGATACTAGAGCTGCTAGTCCTGGAGGTGCTACTCGTGCTGGAGGTGCCAGAGCTACTAGTCCTGGAGGTGCTAATGGTGCTGGAGTGCTGGAGCTGCTAGCACCTGGAGGTCCAGCTGGTGCTGGAGCTGCTAGCAGTGGAGGTGTTGGTGCTGCTGGTGTTGGAGGCGCTGGAGGTGCTGCCGTTGCTGGAGGCACTGGAGCTGGAGGTACTGGAGGTACTAGAGCTGCTATTCCTAGAGGTGCTCGTATTGGAGGTGCTGGAGGTGCCGGAGCTGGTGGTGCTGCTGGTGCTGGAGGTGCTGGAGTTGCTGCTGGGGGTATTGGAGGTGCTGGAGGTGCTGGAGCTGCTGGTCCTAGAGGTGCGCGTACTAGAGGTGCTGGAGCTGCCGCAGCATGTGGTGTTGCTAGTGCTGGAGGTGCTGATGGCACTAGAGGTGCTGGAAGTAGTGCTGGTGCTAGAGGTGCTGGCGCTGCCGGAGCTCGTGGTGCTCCTTGCGCTGGAGGTGCTAATGGAGCTGCCGGTGCTGGAGGTGTTTGTGCTGTGGGTGCTGGAGGAGCTGGAGCTGCTGGTATTGCCCCGCGCCAACCGTTTTTCTACCCGCAGCCGCAATCGTCCCTGCCGCCGCCTGACTCGGTCCTTCGCCAGGTTCTTAGTCTCAAATCTTCCACTGACCTCACTCCGCATCTCCTGTGTCCATCGACATACCAGTCTCAGCCACAGCTACAACTTGGCTCCCCACTGCCTGCTCCTGCTCCTCACACTACGGTGACTGATTCCATGACTGAGCATCGTGAGCTTGAGACTCGTGCTTCCACACCTGTTCGTGCTCATCGTGTTGCCCGTCCTGGTCCTCTTGCTGTCCCAGGCACTCACAGTATGGCACTTCGTCCTTCCTGTGTTCCACAACATGTTGTCCTACCTGAGCCTCCTGCATCCTCTCTTCCGCACGTTCCTGACCCAGAGTCTGACCTTGCTCATGCTGCCAGAATTACTGTCACTCGTCTCCTCGCTAGTGTCGTCACTGGCCCTGATTTTGAGTCTACTGCTGCGTTTGCCCTAATCACTGAGCTAGTCAACTTTGCAGATAGGAGTCGTCTGGACTACGTTCTGAGTCTTGTTACTGATTCTGAGTCTCTCTGTCCTCCGTCTGTGAGCCTGTCCTTAGCTGAGACGTCCTTGAGGACAAGTAGTTTGAGTTTGAGTGTCTTGCGGCCGCTTTACCTCGTTTCGCTTCCATAGTGCTTTGCCCCGAGGAAGACCCGGATGCACTTGACATCCCTACCCCGCGCTCTTACGCTGAGGCGATTGCGCGTGAATACTCCTCTCAGTGACAGGCAGCCATGGACGCACAGATGGCTTCCTAGAAGTCCACAGGCACCTACGTCGACGAGGTTCCTCCTCCTGGGGCGAACATAGTTGATGGCATGTGGATTTTGAGAGTGAAACGACCGCCGGGTTCTCCGCCTGCCTTCAAGGCGTGTTACGTTGCTCGAGGCTTCAGACAGTGATAAGGGGTTGACTTCTTACAGACCTTCTCCCCCACCCTGAAGATGACTACTCTTCGGGTATTGTTGCACGTTGCAGCACAGCGTAATTGTGAGCTACACTCCCTCGACTTCTCCACAGCTTTCTTGCAAGGCAGCCTTCACGAGGAGATCTGGCTGCGCCGCCTACCTGGCTTCACTGGGTCGATTCATCGCGGGTACCCTGTGGAGCCTCCAGCGGCCAGTCTACGGTCTCTGCCAGGCGCCTTGCAAGTGGCACGATACAGTGAGGATGACACTTGCAGCTCTTGGGTTTGCTCCTTCATCTACTGACCCGTCGCTGTTTCTACGCACCGACACTACCCTGCCGTCGTTCTACGTTCTCGTGTACGCTGACGACTTGGTTTTTGCTACTGGTTACACGGAGACGCTGGCCCAAGTGAAGGCGGAGCTGTAGGAGTGACACACCTGCACTGACCTGGGTGAGCTGCGGAGCTATCTTGGCTTGCAGATCACCCGGGACTGAGCACGTCGCACCATCACCCTGACTGAGTCACACATGGTGCACCATGTTCTTCAGCGCTTTGGCTTCCAGTTCTCCTCGCCACAGCCCACTTCTCTGTCTACCGGCCACTCTCTCTCAGCTCCACCTTCGGACGGGTCCGTAGAGCCGAGTGGTCCGTACCCAGAGCTTGTGGGTTGCCTCATGTACCTAATGACATGCGTACCTAACCTCGCGTACCCTTTCAGCCTCCTGGCTCGCTACGTGGCTCCCGGTAGACATCGAATGGTGCACTGAGATGCTGCGAAGAGGGTACTGCGTTACTTGTGCAATACATCGGGCATGGGGCTCGTGCTTGGAGGACGGGGTTCAGTGGTACTCATAGGACACTCCAACGCTTCTTGGGCCGACGACCAGGCGACTCAGCGTTCGTCATAGGGTTACACCTTCAGTCTTGGCTCTGGTTCTGTCTCATGGCGGTCCACTCGTTCTTCTTCTGTGCTTGGTTCCAGCTGTGAGGTCGAGATCTACGCTGGGGCCATGGCTGCACAGAAGCTACGCTGGCTGACCTACTTGCTGACCAACTTGAGGGAGCGGCCTCATTCTCCTCTAGTTATTTACGTCGACAACAAGACAATGCTTGCCTTGTGTTGCGAGTAGAGACTGGATCACAGAACGAAGCACATTGCTCTTTGCTTCTTCCTTGCACGTGAGCTGCAGTAGCGTCGTCAGCAATCCCCATTCCATTCCCCCCCACCCGCCTCTCCTGTCCTCTCTCTTCACTGGTCTGTTTTCGATCAGCCGCCGTCTGTCCTTCCCTCCCCTCCCCCCCCCCCCCCCCTCCTATCCCGCCCCTTCCCGCCCCTCCCTCCGCACTAGCCTCTACTGCCCCCCCTTCCGACATCATCTCTGGCGCCTCCCCACCCGCCTCTTCCTCTTCAGCTCCCCTCCCTTCCTCACTTCCATCTTCCTCTCCACCTCCTTTGTCTGTTCCCATTCCCCCCCCTTCCCCACGCCTTATTCGCTCCATGACTCGCGCACTTTCTAATTTTCAGCACTCTGCTCTTTTCACTCTTCTTTCTCCATCCCAGAATGTTACACTTCTTGAATATCGCTTTGAGGAGCTCTTCAACATTCATCCTGTTTCTCCTATCCTGTGTGTCACTGTTGGTGACTTTAGCAATTCTCCCACTCTTCTCGCTATCGACATCGCTGCCATTCCCACCCCTTAGTCCTACTCTGAGGCTGTGTCGGGCTTTCATGCCACTGAGTGGATGGGTGCCATCATTGCTGAGTGTGAGGCATTCACCAGAACTAATTCATACATTAACTCTGTCCCCCCGCCTGGCACCACCATTGTCAAAGGCAAATGGGTCTTCCGTGTCAAGCAGCTGCCCAGCGAACTTCCTGTCTTCAAGGCCCGCTACTGTGCCAAGGGGTTCACTCAGCGTGAAGGCATGGATATGCTTACTCCCCCACAGTCTCTCTCCCCACCCTTCGCCTCCTTCTTGACTTAGGTGCTCGTTGGAATTGGGAGATCTATTCCATGGACGTTTCCAATGCTTTCCTCCAGGGCGAGCTGCATCAGCGCATTTTCCTTGAGCGCCCCGCTGGCTTTTCTCGCCCTTTCCCTCCAGGCACGGTTTAGGAATTGAAACGACCTGTGTATGACCTTAAACAGGCCCCACGCGAGTGGCACGCCAAGCTCGCCTCCACCCTTCACTCTCTTGGCTTCTCTACCACCACCTCCGACCCCGGTCTCTTCATTCGCAAATCCCCCCACAGGCTTTACATCCTTGCCTATGTGGACGATTTGGTGCTGCTTGCTGAGGACTCCGCCGATCTTGCAGCTGTCAAGAAAGCCCTGCAGGCGTGTCTCATGTGCAAGGACCTTGGCGAGCTTCGTCACTACCTCGGCATGGAGATCCGTCATGATCATGCTGCCCGCACCATCTCTCTCTCCTAGTCTTTCTACATCCAGTCCATCCTCTAGCGGTTTGAGATGTTGTAGGCTAAGCTGGTCTCCACCCCTCTTCCCGCTAACCATCAACTCAGTGCCCCTGCCGTCCCTGCTCCCTCCTCTAAGCTGCGGCCTTATCCTGAGCTCGTTGGATCTCTCATGTATGCTATGATGTGCACTCGTCCCGACCTTGCTTACCCCCTCAGTGTTCTCTCTCGCTTTGTTGGTCTAGGCCGCCACAATGACGTGCACTCGGCGGCTGTTAAGCGCGTCCTGTGCATTCTGCGCACCACCTCTGACCTTGCTCTCACTCTTGGTGGCTCTGTTCCTCCCGTTCTCTCCGGCTACAGTGACTCTTCCTACGCTGACTCCCGCCCTGATCGCTGCTCATCTCAGGGCTATGGTTTTACTCTTGGCAGTGGTCTCATAAGCTGGCGCTCTACTCGCTCACCCTCTGTCTGCCTTTCCACCTGCGAGGCTGAGTTGTACGCAGGCACCTTAGCAGCTCAGGAGGCTCGCTGGCTCTCCTTTCTCCTTGCTGAGCTTGGTCACTCTCAGTCCTCAGTGACGCTCTCCTATGACAGTGCGAGCATGATTCATCTCACTGAAAATCATGTCTATCACGCCCGCAGCAAGCATATCAAGGTCCGCTATTTCTTTGTGCGCGAGCTGGTGCAGTCTGGTTTCTTACGTCTTCGCAAGGTGGACGCTGCTGCCAACCTTGCTGACATTTTCACCAAGGCCCTTCTACGTGCGCCACACCGTTTCTATGTGCGCGAGCTTGGGCTCACGCGTCTTTCCACTTCTGGGGGTGTGCCGGTTCGCTAGGTGTTTTGCTCCAGAGCTTCACCTAGCCTGGGGGTGTGTTGGTGTTGGCTAGAGCTCGCTCTGGCCTTTATTTTGGTGTTCTTATATTATTTCTCCATGCTTAGAGAGAGTTACGCATTCAGGTTCATTTTAGGTTCATTTCGTAGTTGTTAGACAAACCGAACGCACCCTAGGTTCAATTAGGGTTTCCAACCCTCTCTCTTTTGTACCTCGACATTTCTCTTCCTAGTGCAACTTCTATCACCTCACCAAAATCTCTCACCATCCATGGCTTCTCTAACTTCAACACTCTTCCCCTACCGCACTGCCCCTCTCCCCCCCGTGCCGCTCTTCCTCGCACCAGTTCCTCCTCTGGTAGACCCCCCCCCCCCCCCCCCCTCAGGGTCCTGCCCCTTCAGGTGTGTCCCAGGTAGACCCTGTCAAGCCTCTCGAGGTAGCTGCCAACTCTGGTGCTGCTAGGGGTGCTGCGTCTGGGGGTGCTGAGCCTGAGCGTGTGGAGCCGGGGGGTGCTGAGCCTGAGCGTGCGCAGCCTGGGGGTGCTGAGCTTGGGGTTGCTGAGTATGAGGGTGCGAAGCCTGGGGGTGCTGAGCTTGGGGGTGCTAAGCCTGAGCGTGCGGAGCCTAGGGGTGCTGAGCTTGGGGGTGCTGAGCCTGAGCGTGCTACGCCTGGAGGTACTTCGTTTACTGGAGGTTCTCCGGGAGCCTAGGAGACTCTCTCTCCACCGCAGCTGCGCGAGTGGTTTGCTCGCCGCTGGAGCCTTCAGCGTGACGCTGCTAGAGCTGGGGGGGCTGCCGCTGGAGATCCTGGAGCTGGAGGCGCTGGAGCTGGAGGTACCGGAGGTGCTGGAGCTGCTGGTCCTGGAGGTGCTGGAGGTACTGGAGGTTCTCCGGGTGCCTCGTCCCGGCGGGAGCCTCTCTCTCCACCGCAGCTGCGCAAGTGGTTTGCTCGGCGTTGGAGTCTTCAGAGTGCCGCTGCTGGAGCTGGGGGGCCTTCCGCTGGAGGTCCTGGAGCTGTAGGCCTTGGACCTGCTGGTCCTGGAGGTGCTGGAGGTACTGGAGCCGTGGGTCCCGGAGGTGCTCGTACAGGAGGTACTGGAGCTGCTGGACCTGGTGGTGCTGCAGGTGCTGGAGCTGCTAGAGCTGGAGCTGCTGGAGGCATTAGAGCTGGAGCTGCTGGAGGTGCTGGAGCCGCTAGTCCCGGAGGTGCTCAAACTAGAGGTACTGGAGCTGCTGGAGCTGGAGGTGCTGTAGGCATCGGCGCTGGAGGAGCTGGAGTTGCAGCTGCTAGAGGTACTGGAGCTGCTGGTCCCGGAGGTGCTCGTACTGGAGGTACTAGAGCTGCTGGAGCTGGAGGTGCTGCAGGCGTTGGAGCTGGAGGAGCTAGAGCTAGAGCTATTGGAGGTACTCGAGCTGCTGGAGCTGGAGGTGCTGCAGGCGTTAGAGCCGGAGGCACTAGAGCTGGAGCTGCTGGAGGTACTGGAGCTGCTGGAGCTGGAGGTGTTGCAGGTGTTGGAGCAGGAGGCACTGGAGCTAGTGCTGGAGGTCCTGGCCCGGGGGTGCTCGTGCTGTCGGTGCTGGTTCTGGAAGCACTCTATGGTCACGCCCGTACTTCGTTCCACTCCTTCAGCAGGTTCTTGGTCTCCCGCCTTCTACTGGCCTTCCTCCTCCCTTACTGTGTCCTCCGCCTGACCAGTCGCAGTCGCAATTACAGCCAGCCTCCCCAGTGCCTACTCCTTCTCCTTACACTGGGCCGACAGGAGGTCTTGCGGAGCGTCATGACCCTGAGCCTCATCCTGCGTCGCATGTTCGCGCTGTTCGCACTGTTCGCCGTGCTCCGCCTCCGCGTCCTCCTCCTATCCCCGGCACACACCAGATGGCACTCCGTCCTTCCTCTGTTCCATAGCATGTCCCTCTCGCGTCTCCTCCTGCGTCCTCTCTTCCTGACGTTGCTGACCCGCCGTCAGACCTTGCTTGTGCTACCAGTCCTACGGTCACATGTCTTCTAGCCACTGTTGTCACTGACCCTTCGTTTGAGTCCTCTGCTACGTCTGCCCTAGTTGCTGAGCTTGTTGACTTTGCTGCCGACTCTCGCCTCGACTACGCCGCTAGTCTAGTTGATGAGTATGAGTCTATCTGTCCTTCGTCCATCGGGGGTGAGTGTGCTCTTGGCACGGACGTCCTTGAGGACTGGCAGGAGGACTTTGAGTGTTTTGCAGCTGCTTTACCTCATCTCGTGTCCATGCTGATTGCACCTGAGGAAGACCCGGATGCACCAGACATCCCGACCCTGCACTCTTACGCAGAGGCGATAGAGGGTCCCTACTCCTCTCAGTGGCAGACAGCCATGGACGCAAGAGATGGCTTGCTAGAAGCCCATAGGCACCTACGTCGACGAGGTTCCCCCACCTAGGGCGAACATCGTCAGTGGCATGTGGAATTTCAGGGTGAAGCTGCCGCCAGGTTCTCCGCCTGTCTTCAAGGCACGCTACGTTGCACGAGGCTTCAGTCAGCGACAGGGAGTTGACTTCTTCAAGAATTTCTCCCCTACCCCAAAGATGACCACTCTTCGGGTTCTGCTGCACGTAGCCGCTCAGCGTGACTACGAGCTTCACTCTCTTGACTTCAGCACTGCTTTCCTACAGGGCAGCCTGCACAAGGAGATCTGGCTGCGCCGCCCACCTGGCTTCACTAGGTTGTTTCCTTCAGGTACCAAGTGGAACCTCAGGCGGCCAGTCTACGGTCTCCGCCAGGTGCCTCGCGAGTGGCACGACACACTGAGGACGACTCTTGTGGCTCTTGGGTTTGCTCCTTCTACTGCTGACCCGTCGCTGATTCTACGCACCGACACTTCGCTGCCGCCATTTTACATCCTCGTGTACGTCGAGGACTTGGTCTTCGCCACTGTTGACACGGCAGGACTGGCCCACGTGAAGTTGGAGCTGCAGAAGAGACACACGTGCACAGATCTGGGTGAGCTGCGCAGCTATCTTAGCTTGCGGATCACACAGGATAGAGCACAGCGCACCGTTTCCTTGACTCAGTCACACATAGTACAGCAGGTCCTTCAGCACTTCGATTTCTAGTACTCCTTGCCACAGTCCACTCCTCTGCCTACCGGTCACTCGCTCTCAGCTCTGCCTTCAGATGAGTCCGTAGAGCCGAGTGGCATGTATCCTAAGCTTGTAGGCTGCCTCATGTACCTGATGACCTGCACTCGACCTGACCTTACTTGCCGTCTTAGCATCATGGCATGCTATGTTTCGCCCAGGAGACATCAACGAGAGCACTAGGAGGCCGTTAAGAGGGTGATGCGCTACTTGTGCAGTACGTCGGGCATGGGGCTCGTGCTTGGAGGACGGGCTCAAGTTGTCCTCACTGGTCATGCAGATGCTTCTTAGGTTGACGACTTGGCTACGCAGCGGTTGTCACAGGGTTACACTTTCAGCCTTGGCTCCGGCTCTGTTTCGTGGCGGTCTACCCGCTCGTCTTTTGTTCTCAATTCCATTTGTGAGGCCGAGATCTACGCCACAGCGTACAGGAGTTACGCTGGCTCACCTACCTGCTGACCGCCTTGGGAGAGCCACCTCACTCTCCTCTAGTTCTGTACGTTAACAACAAGGCCATGATTGTCTTGTGTTAGGAGCACAGAACAAAGCACATCGCTCTGCGCTACTTCCTTGCCGAAGAGAGTTGCAGCAGCGTAGTCAGCTTGTTTACGTGGCCTCTCGGGCCAACACTGCTGATATCTTCACCAAGGCACTTCAGCCTTGTGATCATCAGCGTTTCTGTACTGTTCTAGGCCTTGTGCCTACTTGGCCTCACTTGCTCACTTCTTGACTTTACTTGTACTGTGATCTATATGCTTATACCTGCATGCTTACACTTGCTAGGTTGTGATCACTGTACTGCTTGTGCTTTTTTATATAACTCTGCATGTGAATTGGCCTTGTGGCCTTTTGCTTGTGCTCAGAATGCGTGGTGACTTCGTGATCCACCCTGAGCTTGCTTTGCTTTTCTTGACCGGTCTTGCGACCTCTTGTTCTCCCCCACTTTGCCTATGGGGGTGTGTCAAACTTATATGCTGCTTATTGTGTATGCTATAGTGGGGTAGCCCATATGGGGTACAACCAAATTAGGGTTTCCTACTTGTACCTATCTTGTTGCTAGTTCATTCATTCCTGCTGGTTAGCTTTTAACAGTGGCTTGGATCCCACCATTTTTGTCGCTTGTCACACTGAAACCAAGTGTGTCCCGGCCTTTGACAGTACCAACACCTTCCGCGAAGCCCGCTGAATCCGCCTCCATAGTCACGTGCACTTTCTCCCCTTCCTCTAGAATCAGCATTCCGTCTCCAATGGCCTTCTCCTCTAGTCTCTTGAAATCTTGTCACATTGCTTTTGTTTGTTACCCTCCTTTTCTTCTTGGCTCCGTCTGTTCCTCCAGCCGCCTCCTTGCACACTGTAGCCACTATTGCTGTTGTCCATATTGTTAATCTAATGCCTTCTGAAGTCCTCCTCCAGAATCTTATTTCTCACCCATTCAAGAGTCCAGAACCCTTAATTATGTGGGAGACTCAACACACTAGTTAACCGCAACCATGATTCGAGTAGTAGCGAGGGCATCCTCAAACACTTCGTCTGCTTGTGATACATTATTCCAGCCATAGTCAGCTTTGCGTACATATCGCGCATCTTGTCAAGTACAGGCTGCAGCAGCTCCCCTTCGCTTACACACAACGAAGCTATTTCCTGCTCCAACATTAGTGTAGCTGCAACTGACGTTGAGGCGTGCAGCTCCTTAAGCACGGCCCATGCTTTTGGTCCACATTCCGCCTCCTCTCGCAGATGCATTATATGGGCTCATTGATTAAGCTCCAAGCTCTGTGGTAGAAAACCTACCGACGCCCTTTCATCCCATTTGGCTTGTTGGTTAGGGTCTCTTGGTCTCTCTTCCTTCCCAATCGTCAACTTGAGCAGTCCTACCTGCCTGAAATACATGTCAAACTTATATGCTATAGTCTGTGTAGGCTGTAGTGGGGTAGTTCATATGGGGTACAACACTTTAGGATTTCCTACTTGTACTACTCATGCTGCTCAATGCATTCATTCCTCGTTCTTCATTTTCACATGGTTTCTGAGCAGGTTCCCTAGTGGGAACGATTTTTTTTTGAAGGGCCCACCACGATTTTTTTTCCTGCCCTGCCCGAAGCGTGCTGCCGCGCCTACCTGCCCCGTCGCGCGCCTCGCGCCTGCCTCACCTGCGTCGTCGAGCGCCTGCCCTGCTGTCGCGGCCCTGCCTACCTGCCGCCCGTCGCGGCTCTGCTTTGACGGCCGTCGTGGCCCTGCCCTGCCGCCCTACGTCGCGGCCCTGCCCTGCCGCCCTACGTCGCGGCCCCTGACCTGCAGCCGCCGTCGCGGCCCCAGACCCGCCGCCCCACGTCGCGGCCACTTCCCTGCAGCCGCCGTCGCGGCCCCTCCGTCACGGTCCCTCCGTCGCCGCCGTCGCGCCTGCTGCCGCCGTCGTGGCCCTGCTGCCGCAGTCGCACTTGCAGCCGCCGTTGCGACCGCCGCCATCGCGCCTGCTGCCGCCGTCGTGGCCCTGCTGCCGCCGTCGCGCCTGCAGCCGCCGTTGCAACCGCCGCCGTTGCAACCGCCGCCGTCGCCGCCACTGCGGCCCCCACCATCGCGCCTGCTCTGCTCGCCCCTAGTGAGCACCTACCCTAAGCGCGCCATCTGCGCCTGCTTGCCGGCCGAGCCGCGCCGCTCAGCCGAGCCGCGCCGCTCCGCCGAGCCGCGCCACACCGCGCTACTGAGCCGCGCTGCCCTGACCGCGCTGCTCCTGCTGCTGCTGCTGTTTCTGCTGCTACTGCTACTACTGCTGCCACTGCTGCTACTGCCGCCATGGCTAGCCCTACGGTTCTTACCTTCGATGCTGAGGGACGTGCTGTTGACTTCAACGTCTGGTTAGATGATCTGCAGCTGTTTCTTTAGTGCGATAGCAAGGACGGAGTCTCGCTTTTTTATCTCACGGCTGGCACCTCTGCTGCACCTGCTGCCGATGCTGACAGTACAGTTCGCTCGTAGTGGACTACTCGTGACGCTGTTGCTCGCCTTACTGTTCGTAGTCACCTGCCTTTTGGTGAGCGCGCGCACTTTGGCCAGTACAAGACTGCTAAGTCTTTGTATGACGCTGTCGTAGCGCGCTACTCCTCCCCTACCACTGCTACCCTCAGCCGCCTCATGCTACCGTAC